ATCTTGACCCCATCCGCAGGCAGTGATATTAATATCGATACTTTGATCTGGTTGGTGGGCTCCGATGGCGCAAAGGACGGCCAAATCGTTATCATCGGACGTTGATTCGAATCAGCGATGGTGAGTGGGACAGGCTAGGGCTGATAGACATCCCCTAAAGCACGGATCCCTGCTAGTCGGAAACATGTCCTAAATGACCCAACTGATAGCAAAGACTTGCGCTACATTGCGCGATATGCCTGTCTAGGCATTCGCCCCTGCAATGGCATCTTTGGGGTATTTAGCCCATTGTTTGACCACCGCCGGAGATCCGTCCAACCTTGCTAGCAGCCATGCTATAAAGATCGGAAGCTGTGCAGTCAGTTTAACCGGCTAGGGGGTCGTCAGAGCTCAACAATTCTCAGTAAAGCTCCCCGGCGTCTCAACACCCAATCAACGAAATATGGGTAAGTGTAGCCAGGTGTATGGCGCTGTACCCGGAACTGACAGCAGTGGGCGATTCTAGCTACCTCAACCGGCGATACCCACGTCTCCGACGCCATAATCACCAGTGAAGCCACCAATGATTCCGTCCAAGTACAGAACAAGTCCGATCCTGAGAAGAATGTCTATGAGGTAGATGCCCAAGCGCTGGAGAACGAGGAGTACCCGCCGCCCACGGAGGAAGAGGTCAACAGCCTTCGCAAGGTCCCGGCCTATCTCCCCGTCATTGCATACTCCCTTTGTATGGTAGAATTTGCCGAACGAGCATCATACTACGGCGCACAGACGGTCTTCTCCAACTTCATTGAGTTCCCTCTTCCTAAAGGTGCTCTTCAGACTCGGTAACCCCTGATTCTCATGTCGCTGACCGGCCTCTTTCTAGGAGGAAACGGTGCGGGTGCACCTCCGCGAGGGACGCAAGAGACGGCTGGTGCTCTGGGAATGGGACTCCAGGCTAGTGACGGATTGGTCTTGCTATTCCAGTTCCTTGCCTATGTCATTCCGATCTTCGGTGGATGGTAAGCCAATCCCCAAACTGTATACACATGCGTGACTCGCTCACAATAACAGGTGGGCCGACGTATACGTCGGTCGGTACTGGGCCATTTGTGTCGGTGTTGCCATCTGTGGTATTGCCCACATCATTCAGATCATCGGCGCAATTCCTTCAGTATTGCAAGCTGGCACGGCGCATGCAGCGCCCCCGTTCATCATCGGGCTTCTGATGTTGGCCCTTGGAGCCGGCATCTTTAAACCCAATATCGCACCCACAGTCCTGGACCAATACCGACATCAAAAGCAATACACAAAGATTTTGAAGACTGGGGAGAAGGTCATTGTGGATCCCGAGATGACGGCTACTCGAACGATGCTCATCTTCTACGGAGTGATCAACGTCGGAGCATTTTACATGCTGGCCACCACATACGCGGAGAAATATGTGGGTTACTGGCTGGCCTTCTTGCTGGCCGGAATCATCTATTTTACTTTGCCCGTGGTGCTGGCGGCCGCCTACAAGAAGACGTACCGGACGCCGCCCAGTGGGAACTCGGATCTCGCCAAGGCAATCAAAATCACCGTAACTGCTTTGCGCCAAAACAAGTGGCAGGTCTGGCGCAAGAACTTCTTCGATGCGGCGAAACCGAGTATCCTGGCAGCCAAGGGAATCCAGGTCGACTGGACCGACAAGCTGGTGGATGATGTGCGCCGAACGCTCGTGGCAACGGAGATCTTCTTCTATTTCCCCATCTACAACCTCAATGACGGCGGTATCGGGTCTGTCTCGACAAACCAGGGTGCGTCTATGACGACGAACGGTGCCCCCAACGACCTATTGAGCAACTTCAATGCCTTGACCATCATTGTCGCCGTGCCGATTGTCGATTACTTTATCTATCCACTGCTTTATCGGTACAATATTCCGTTTAAGCGAATCACTCGGATGACATTCGGCTTCACCCTGGCCGCACTCTCCGGTCTGTGCGGTGCCCTTGTCCAGTGGCGTGTATACAAAACCTCGCCCTGCGGCTACTATGCCTCCTCCTGTTCCGAAGTCAGCCCCATCAGCATTTGGTGGCAGCTGCCGAACACCATCTTGGGAGCCCTCTCGGAAATCTTCTGCAACGTGACGGCGTATGAACTGGCATATGCCCGGTCGCCCGCGAGTATGAGGGGTCTAGTCATGGCAATCTTCCTCTTCATGACTGCTTTGTCCAGTGCGCTGGGAGAGATCCTTCTGCCAGTCACTGCGGATCCAGACTTGATCTGGATTTGGGGTGCCCCTGCTGTTGCCCTCGCTCTGCAAACCATTTTCTTCTGGTACCGATTCAGGTACCTGAACAACGATGAATTCATGACCGATGAAGCCAACTATGCAAACAGTGCAGAGGAGACCCCTATTCAGACCACTGAAGTGGAAAAGACGGTGGAGAATTAGATGTGCAGGGTCGGACCGGATCATTTACGGTCCCAATAACAGTAGCCATATTTTGAGTGGGCTATTTTATCAATGCATGTATCACATTCATCTTGATCTAGATTTCAGGCAAGCCGAGTCTATAAGTTTGATTTCGGTAGTGTATCTATGGTCCCTTCTGGGAGTATGTATGGTGGTGGTATGATCTAAGATGAGAGACGCTGCATAATTGCGAGTAAGGCTACCGTGTCAGTCTTGGTAGCATATCGATGGTATGAAAAGCTACGGTCGTGAATTTCATGTCGTATCTGAGATCGGATCAATGGTCCGAAAGTCCGGCTTAGTAGGAACTTTGAGCGAATACTCTCCTGGCCGACGGGAGTAACCATTAGGTGGTTCACTGCGCTATGCACTAGATCTCATAAGCGAACGGGATGCTCTGCATCGCACCCTTCCTCTGCACACACCCTGCGGCGGCCACGTTCGCCTTCCGAACAGCCGCTTCGATCTGGGCATCGAAGTCCGCCAGTGGAGCACCGGTGGCAACAAACTTGGCAAAGGCAGTAGCGAAGTAACCGACAAACGTGTCTCCGGCGGCAGTGGTGTCTACAACCTTCTCCACCGCGGCGCTGGGGGCAAAGCCCTGCTTGCCAGTGGCCGTTGAGTAATAGGCACCCTTGGCTCCGAGAGTAATTAGAACAATCTGGACCTGGGCATGTTTGTGGAATAGAGGTGCAAGTTCCTCGGGCTTCAAGTCCTTCTCCTGCTGGGCAGGGGTGAGATGCTCCTTGACCGCCTGGGTCATGAGGACAGCTTCAGTCTCATTCATGGCCAGCACACTCGTGCCAGCAAGAGCGGCCAGGGGAATCCCTTCTGTGAAGACCGGTGCAGGGTTGAAGACGAGGTGAGAAGCGCAGGAAGCGCTGTTAAAGTGCTTCATCAACTCCAAGGTGGTCGACCTCGGGATCTCGCCCTGCATCACGACAACGCCTTGTTCTAGATGGATGTTCCGAGTGGTAGCGAGGACTGCATCTGCATTATCCATTCCCGAGTAGTTAGCACCGGGGACGAACAAAATCCGATTCTCTCCTCCAGCTCCTTCATCCACGATGATTGTAGCAGAACCCGTTTGGCTGTCCGTCTTTTCCTGGATTCCCGTTGTGCTGACTCCGGAACCCTCCAATGTTGGGCGAAGGAGGGCCGAGTAGTAGGGATCACCTGCTCCGACCGCGCCAATCATATACACCGACGCATCTTGATTGTCTTTGGAAGCGAAAGAGGCGCGACCGCACGCGACCGCCTGGTTGGCACCTTTCCCTCCGGCGCTGATAGCGAGGGAGTTGGCTGTGAGGGTCTCGCCGGCATCGGGACAACGTGGAGTGTAGGTGACAAAGTCGATATTCAGGGAGCCAATCACGCAAATCTGGGGAGGCGCCATGGTGTTCGTTCCTGGGAGTTGCTAGAAGACGAGTCAGATATCCTAGTGACGGGCATGGTTTGAATCACCCATGCGGGGAAGAAGCACAGATGGGACTCACTAGTAACGCTGAGTTAACGATGACAAGTCAATTGATAAGAGTTCAAAAGGGAAGGAATGTTCCATGCAACTGCTATGCAAATTCTTGCAGGAATTAACAATCAATTGTAACCTGCAGTGGAGTTTATCGGTGGGATGAGTGAAAGTAAGAAAGAGAGGGACCTCTTTTTGGCGGGGGGGAGATAAAGATTAGGTAAGTGGAATAGTCACATGATGATGACGTTGGTGAGGCCGAGGTATAGCCATAGCCCTTGTAACAATTAAACAATTTATCACTTTTTTCAAATGATGGTTTGTACTCTTGTGATGGTCATTCTGGCTCCGGTCTTTATTCTGGCTTAATTTCAGTATACGTCAATATATCCCCAGTATACAACGCGACTGTGAGATAGTAAGTAGTGGCTGAATACCAGAACTGCTACTGTAAGTAAGGGTAGTATTCATGCGCGACACCACTAAATGTTCTGGTGACATGTCAAAAGAGAATGCAGTTTTGATGGTACTCGAGGAAAACCCTCCAGAGATTATACCAAAAGCTACTTCTGTTCAGCTCCGACTATCCAGGTCCTTTGGACGGTAAGGTTCATGTCCTTCTGTTTGACCGTGATCCGCGGTCTGACGGATGCGATGTATCGCGCAAGGGATGACGGGAAGAGTCGCAGGAGCAAGCATGAATTATTGTCATTGTGCTGAAAATAAGCCACGGAGAAGCGGTCAATTTATGTAAAGTCCACAGGCCGCATAATATATTCACATTCTATTGTTTACATTGAAGAATTATTGCATTCTAATCTTCCGGCTACTAGCCTCTCTCAGCTTTGCCCCATTTGGCAATCATGTTCTGGGAAGGAAGTACTTGGCTATCAAGCGTCATCACCACATATATAAATTTCTATCATGCTTTACTACTTGGGTCTCATACTTACAATAAACCAGGCTCTGACCTACCTACACAAATACACGGTTGGATCCTGCTTTCACACGCTGCCACTTGTCGAGTGACATACACAACGCTCCCTTTGGCTAGCCATGGCAACCATGATAACTACGGCCACCACGGCCACTATGACCATTGGCACTCCATCCTTGACCTTTCGCCGTCTTCACCCCACGTTTGGTGCCGAGTGTGAGGGCGTGGACTTCTCGCAACCAGTCCCGGATGCCGTCATCGAAGAGCTTCGTGCCGCGATGGCCACATACGGCGTCTTGGTCTTCCGCGCCACCAAACTTGACGATGCGCGCCACTTTGCCTTTGCGCGTCAATTAGGCGAACCGATAGTGGATAACATGGTCGGGGCACCGGGAGTGCCAGATCGACTTGGTACTAGAGGCAAGCTTATGGATGTTGGGAATGTGGACAGCAAGGGTCAGGTCTTATCGCCATCGTCTTGGCGAGCGCAGCTATTGCGGGGCACACGCCTCTTCCACGTAGATGGCTCCTTCGCCCAACGCCGAGCGGGATATAGCCTCCTCCGAGCGCACAAACTGCCCCCAAAGGGAACCGGCGGCGCTACGGCATTTGCCGACACCAGGACTGCTTATGCGGATCTCGCTGAGGAGACAAAAGCCGAAATTCAGAATTATGTGCTATGGCATTCAATCATGCAGAGTCGATGTCTAGGAGCCCCGGATAATTGGTTCATCAGGTTGGTGGCTGCCGTCTCCGACCTGGATGACCTGCGTCGTATTCCATATCTGATGGTGGTGGTATGTTCACGACATGCTTCGAGAAAGCGACTTCCCTAGTAAGACATCGTATTGTGCTAACCAAACTTTTATCATTTACAGGGTCTCATAGCCCGTATATTGGGGATTTGGGTCGATATTGTGGACATCAGCCTACTCCTGATATACTGTTTCGTTTTGGTGCGGATCTGGGTGCTGTGTTGGTTGCCCGCGGCTGTAAGAGCGCGTGGACGTCATCAACTTGCACAACTGCACAAGCCCAGCAATCGAATGAATCTGTACATGGGATCACATGCATACCGGATAGACGGGAGGAGCAGGGCTGACAGCAAGCCCGTAATTGATGCTTTGATGCGGCACGCCAGTCAGGACAAATATGTGCTCACCGTGGACTGGCAGAACGATGGAGACATGATTATGTGGGTATGTATACTATTTAGATCTGTCTGTAGAAGCCGGAAGCAATGCTAACGTTATTAGGACAATACTTGCGTGATGCACCGATCATGTGGTGGCTCATATCAAGGACGGTATGTGCGTGATATGCGCAGGGCCGCAATCTATGACTCCGCGTAGGCGCTGAAGTCAACTTGTGCGAAGATTGAAGAGGTTTTCATTACAAGCAATATAGCCAGAACGGCGAATTGTGTAAATTTCAGTATACCATAACTTGCTTGCACCTTTCAGGGGTAAAAAGCAGAAGCCTGAGTTTAATCTTGTGAAGAAAGATGAAGGATGCCGGCCCCTGCATTAGTCCCTATTTAGCTAGCTTCAATTGAGGGTGGGTACCTGACCGTTAAGGTGTCATGTCAGGCACACACGGATTGGGGATGATTCCAGACGATATCAATGAGATTCAGCTATCTTTCTGAACAGACAGAATCTCTTCACTGTATACAGTACTTTATACTTCTCTGTATTGACTATAGTGTAGACACTGTACTGCCGCATCATCACGTCCTAATTCCTCCTCCACCCTCATTCTACCCGAAACGTCATTTTAAGAAGCCCTGATGCAATCCCTTAAGTGGATCTGCAGGATGCCCATACCCCCTATCCCCTCACATTCGATGCCCGAGAATTCCGCCGAGCAGAAAGAGGGGAAGGAAGTTCTACTAGCCCACAGCAGAGCTACGTACATGATTCATGTATCACTGCGGAGAATCGCCTCTACTCGGAGCATTCTCCGTAGCGGACAATATCACGCCCGCCTATAGGAAGGAGAAGAATAGTCACTACTTTATAGTGACTAACCAATCCCGACCAAGTAAATTCCATGTAGAGTAGTACTAGTATCTCTTTCATAGGAGTAGAGTCCCTCGTAGGCAGCTTCATATATAACATAGTATTGTCCCTTCACTGATCTTCCAGCTTGCAGTGACCTGTCTACTTAGAAGTACCCCCTCACAAACCATCACATTTCAACCCTACCTCACAGCGAACAACTATCTAAGATGATCTCCCTCTCCACCCTCCTCCTAACTCTATCTCTAACTCTAACCGCAACCGCCCACCCTTCAGTCACCCACCAAAAACGCAGCGTGACATGCCTCAAAGTCGGCGCCACCGCAACAGCCAGCTGGACCAACAGTGCCGATCAAACCTGCACGTATGTGGGCGTGGTAGGCAGTAACTATGGCGAGAATAGTGATGGTGATGGAGAGTATGCTTGTCCCTTTTCCTTCCCTTCCCTTACTATCCACTCATCCCGTACATACTTTTCTGTCACTACATCGACACTAGTGAAAGAATTCGAAAGCTAACCCAAATACTGTTCAAACAACAGTTACTCCTGCAACGGACGCTGCGGAACAGGATGTAGCGGTATCGCACTGGGCAATGTCTACACCCAGGATTGTTTTTCGCATGATATCTGCTCTTACTTCGAGGATGCGAGCGGGGGTGCTAGGTGAGTGGTTCTATCTACAAGAAACATTATAGTAAGATCAGGTGATTGAAATATGCTGATATATGAGTGTTAGTGACCCCAACTGCGGAGCAGCATTCAAGGCCGCAGAGGATGATTACTTGCTGGGATTAGTTGATGGGTGCTCGCAGACGAATCCGACCAATGCGGTGGTGAAGCCAACGGCGACTCCGGTTTGTACTTGATGAGACAGTGGCAGTACGTGAGAAGGGAGGGTCATTGCAAGTGACATGTATCTTGGCATTCAAAGTATGCATAACGACAAAATCTTCATCTTTGACACAATATGACGTCTGATATATGTACAGTTCATCTAAGTCCTAACCCATACAAAGAATATGTACGAGGTGCAAGTATAACATGCAAACATAAAACGTATCAACAGACGCACTACTTCCGCTCCCCCATCAACTCTCTTGACTCATCACTAGTAGAACTCCCCTGTCGTGCACCCACCATACAGGCACAATGCGCTTCCATCGGTGGACTAAGCGCCTGTTCAATATCATCCTGCAACACGCTCAACCCCGGTTTGCGTCTATTACTCGACGGAGTAGAGTTAGAATTGGAAGAGGCCGACGGTCGCGACTGACTGCTGTTGCTGCCGGAGTCACCAATCCAGCAAGGCGCATGGAAGCGCAGGAACTGTTTCAGATAGGGAAGGCAGGGGCAGATAATGATGAAGTTGGCTTCGATGATGCTGTAGATCGTGTCAATAAGATCCGTCCAGTATTGGTATAGTGTAGTCTGTACGCACATGAAGATGACGGCTAGAGCAATTTCGTATGACTGGTCATCGGACGTTACCAGCGGCATTAGAGTCACCAGCCGAATTATACTGATGATTATAGTTCTGTGGGGTAGTGAGTTATAGTTTAGTCAACCATGGAGGGGATATTATGGGATTGAAAGAAGAAGGTCACCTACAAGCAACCAATCCCAAACATACAGCCGACCCCAAGCTTCTGAATCAATGGAAGTTTCAGCTTGACTATGACTGGGATAGGGATAAGAATCAATATGATATCGCTAACGGTGTTAGTAATGGCCGTAGCGAGATAAAATCCGACGCGGTTAACGCAGTGGCCGGTAGTGATGGTCAAGTCCCAGTTTTTGGCGATGGGTTGGCAAGGGAAGATGAGACCCAAGGTGAGGGCGATCGTGTAGCCGGCAATGATGAAGGTAACGAGGAAAATGATGTTTCTCCAGATGCGAATCATGTGCAACAGGCGATAGTAGAGCATCAGCAGAGCGAATTTGGCCGCAGCTAGGGCAGGGACGTAGATGATGGCGGCAGAAAGGAGAGTCTGGTTAATGGCTCAGCGACGAGACCACAGCAGGATAGAAGACGAGGAAGAAGCAACATCGAAGGACGGACTTTCACATAGATTTCGAGAACTGCGGGAGACAGGTACTCCATGTGGACTCCATAGCCTCCATGACTGTAACCGTCTACAGGGACAGGGCGGTTAGTTTCTGTGTGCGCTGGAGTTCAACAACGAAAACCAGACGAATCTGCATAAACATACAGAGAATAACAGATTGCGTGCCAATCGAAAAGATCTGTGATAGCGGAGACATGTGAGTGCAAGGACTAAGACAAGGTCATCGCTGCTACACAATACCCAAGCGAGGATTAAGCAGACTGCAGGCTGTATTAGCCACCAACCACTCAAATTTTCACACCATATAAGCATAGAAACCGTACCATCATCCCACCAGAACTTTCGCATGATGTGGATCTTGGTAGATAATCGCATGACGAGTAAGACTATGCAAAGGGAAATCCAAATGCCGGCGAGGATCTGATTGGTGGTGCGTAACCATGGGTGCGACAGAGTCCCCCGGAGAGCATCATCACCAGCAGCTCTTCCCAGCACGTCCATATTGAGGAGCCGACAAGCAGCGGCAGATTTCCCCGAAGAAGGGGCATTATTATTGTTCTGTCATGTCGATCCTAACGCAAATTGACCGATGGCGAGAACTGAAGCCCGGTAGCGTTTAAGTAACTGGAGAAGAGTCGAGTATCCCTCGTTCCCTCCCGTCTTGGTGGCTGAGTGTCAGTAGAGTTTCAGCCACGGCATCATCATCCAGTATCTGCGGCAACGAGCATCGACCGATCGTGTCGGGAACCGCCGCAGATGCTCATCCATCTGCTCGATGCGATGGGAATCCTTCATGTTCCGGGGTCTGTGCATCCTCCAGTAACTTTCAACCCTCGAGTAGTTAATATACGCCACCCGAATACTGTGCCCAGGAAAAAGTATTCCGAACGAGTAGCGGGCTATTACCACGGGCCAAAAGCAAAGTGGGGATATCATTACTGCATTTCGTCTATCATAAGGTTGGGGAATCGGTCTAGAACGAGTCTTCAACCCCGTTCATGTACCTATTACATACAGAAAAGCCACCCTCGTCAGTTGAAGGTGGCCTGAACGCTAGAAGCCGCATAGAAGGGCGTTTTAATAGTGTAGATCAAAGAATCAATCCAAGGCAAAGCACCGTTCCACCGAGTCAGAGTTGTTCCCCCACCAGTTGGGCATGGAAATTTGCTTTCCCGAGCCAAAGAACAGGAAGATCAACAGCATATTCAGGTTGAAACCCGCATCGAAAGCAGCGGCCACCATGTAGCTGTAGCGTTTCCAGACCTCAAACCGATACCGGTAGGCCCAGTACATGACAACATATCCGCCAATAATTGCCGATGTGTAACCCGTACTGATATTACCGTAGAAGACCGACAAACCGGAGAAGAAAATGCTGACGTTCCATAGATCAATGCGTAGCCAGCGCGGTAGAGTGCGATGCATAATGTACAGGATCGGGGGCAAAACTGCGCCCACCAGGAACGCCCAGGGTAGAGGCTTCATCTCCTGCTCCTTGAACAGTCGGCTGGGTCCGAGAACTGCATACTGGACACCCAGAGTATTCGAGGACTTCAAGGACTGACCAGACCATTGGTTCAGCGGATCCGTCTTCTTGCCCGACAGGTAGTCTCCTTTCGTGTTGAGGACCCATCGGATCACGGCGTAGTTCACTGGAATACCGAGGATAGTGCCAAAGATCTGAGAGAAAAAGACCGTGCGTGGCGGGATATGCATGTAGTGACCGATCTTCTGGTCTTGCAGCATATACTGCGCGCGGTACCAGGCATCGCCGGCAATTGATCCGTACGTAGACGGTCCGCAGGGGTGCCGATGGCTTTTTCCAGCAGGGGTTTCGACCATGTAGCCATACACCAACTCATTAAAGGACCCAACTGCTAGTTGATAGTTCGAAATGGCATACAGAAAGCCAAATGGGACCACCAAAATGGCGGCACTCGCCAGTGCCACGAACAATGTCCAGATCGGGATCCACAGATAGCCACAGGCAATCGTCACGATCAGAGCGATAAAACCAGCCATGAAAAGTGCGACGTACCACCAGAGGGGGATCTCCTTGTAGGTTCGCTGGAGAACATTGAGACGATCGTGGTACTGGTGGTTAATGCTTTGTCCCTTCTCCTGCGACGCTTTCTGCCGCGACCGAATAACTTTCATCAGATTGTTTCGGATCTGGACGAAACCGAAGGTTAAGATCCACGTGATTGCTGCAGTTACTTTCGCATAGTCAAAGAAGGTCGCCCAGAGGTTCTGAAGACCCATGT